CTGTGTGTCTTTATATAGAGTTTTTGTCCTTTATTTCTTCCAGCACTGTCTTCTTTTGGGTTTAGTTAATTTTTTGTAGTGATATTTTTAGGTATTTTGTTATGATCTATTTCTTTTTGAGTCAGTTCTGGTAGTTTTAATCTTTCAAGGAAATTGACATCTCATCTGAATTGTCAGGTTTATTGGCATGAACTTGTTTATAACATTCCCTCAGTATCCTATTAACCTCTGTACAATCTATAGTCATGTGATGTCATTCTTTTTAATGGTAATTTTTGTCTTTGTTTCTCCTGATTACTTTGGCCTAGAATTTATATTTATTGATTTTTCCTTATAAAACCAACTTTTGGTTTCATTGATTTAAAAATAAATTTTTTTTTAATCTTTATTTTTGAGAGAGAGAGAGAGAGAGAGAGAGAGATTGATTGTGAGCAGGGGAAGGGCAGAGAGAGAGGGGGACACAGAATCTGAAGCAGGCTCCAGGCTCCCAGGTGTCAGCACAGAGCCCCACAAGGAGCTTGAACTGACAAACTGTGAGTTCATGACTTGAGCCAAAGTTGGATGCTTAACCTACTGAGCCACCCAGGTGCCCCTTGTTTCATTGATTTTTTTAAGAAAAAATTGTTTTGCAGGTTTGATTTTATCAGTTTCTGATTTGAACTTTACTATTTCCACTCTTCTGTTTATTTTCTATTTTATTTGCTTTTTAAATTGCCTTAATTTGGAAGCTGAGGTCACTCATGTAAAATATTTTTTTCTTTTCTCATATAGTGATTTAGTGCTAATAAGTTTTCCTGTAAGTGTTGCTTTAATGACATCCCACAAAATTTTGATGTATGTTTTTCTTTTCACTCAAAATGTTCATTTGAAATGCTTCCTATTTACCTTTGAGCAGTTTGTTATGATGTCCCTTAGTATAGTTTTCTTCATGTTTCTGTGCTTGGGGTTCATTGAGCTTTTTTGATCTGTGGGTTTATACTTTTTATTAATTGTGAAATATATAGGACCATTATTTTTTCAGATCTGTCTTTTGACTTTCTACTTTCTTGTCCACTGTAGTTGCCTGCTTATTGAAATTATCTCACGGATCATTGATGCCTTCTCATTTTCTTTGAATTGTCTTCTTCCTGTGTATCCTTTTGGATAGTTTCTGTTGCTGTGTCTTCATATTCACTTATGTTTTCTTCTACAGTGTTGAATTTTTGTTAATCTATCCCATGTATTTTACATCTCAGACATTGTCCTTTCATCTCTCGATGTTTGATTTGAGACTTTTTATTTTACTTTTATTTATTTATTTTTCTAATGTTTATTTTTGAGAAAAGGAGAGAGAGATTGTATGGGCAGGGGAGGGGCACAGAGAGAGAGGGACAGAGGATCTGAAGTGGGCTCTGTGCTGACAGCAGAGAGCCTGATACAGGGCTCCAACTCAAAAACCGTGAGAACAGCTTAACTGACTGAGCCACCCAGGCACCCCGATTTGGGTCTTTTTAATCTCTCATGTCTACTTAACTTTTTCAACATGTGCTATACAGTTAAAATAGTTTTTAGTTTCCTGTTTGCTAATTCTAACAACTTTGTTGCTTCTGAGTCAGTTTCTGTTGATTGCTTTTTCTCCTTTTGACAAGGCAGGTGATTCCATTGATACAGAGGTGTGCCTAAAAAAAAAGATTACCTTAAAAAAAACTGAATTAAGTATTTAATTAAAAATGCAAGCCCAAATGAACAACAAGAAGAAAGCGAAAATGGTAGTTCTTCTGTGAATATTATGATTTATAGAAAGAAATATATATTTGGTTTCTGGCACAGAGCTTTTAAAACTCTTTGATTTTCTTAACTGATTTGGAGCAGTCTTTGGTTTTTCTTTAAGAAGCCCCTTGCAAGCACAGCTGAGTTTATGTTGATACTGTGACTTCTGGAAAGCCTTTAAGTGTGGAGGCTGGTTGCCTGGAGAGGGAGTTGGGATTTTCAGTCCTACTGTGTTCTTCCCTACCTGAGGGGAGGGGAGAGGGGACTGGAAATTTTATTGTCACTGAAGAGCAATACTGATTTAATCAATTATGTCTAAATAATAAAGCCTTCCTAAAAATGCTAATGAGAATTTTGTTTTGGCAAACACATGGGAGTTCTGGGAAGATGGCACACTTAGAGAGGGCATGGGAGCTTTATGCTACTCCCCCTTATTTTGCCTTACTCCTCTCTCCATCTCTTCCATGTGGGTTATATCCTTTTATAATAAAACGACAGTCTAGTAACTAAACTGTTTTCCTGAGTTCTGTGAGCCACAGATTAATCCAATCAAGGGAGGGGATTATGGGATTGTGGGAACCTTTGATTTATAGCCAGATAGTTGGAAGCACAGGTAACAACCTGGATTTGGGATGGCATCTGAAATGGAAGCAGCAGGCTTATAGGACTTAAAAGACTTATAAGGACTTATAGTTAGCCCTTACCCTGTGGGATCTGATGCTATCAGACTGAATTGAATTGTAGGACATTGATGTCCCTGCAGAGTCAGAGAATTACTTGTAGGAAAAACCCTCACAATATCTGGTCATAGACATGTTCATTGTTGTAATAGAGTAGAGGAGAAACACAGGAGTGTTTTTTGCCTAGACATTCTGCTTTTGGTGTCAGCTTTTTATCATCCACATGAGGAAGTTGAAAAGGTAGTTTAATCAAATCTAGTAAGAAGCTGGCAAAATCACATTTATTAAAAAGATTCTCACTATGGCCACCAGTAAAAGCAAATTAAGAGCCACTTGTAAAACAGAACCACCAGACTTGGTGAAGAAGCAAGCAGTTTGAGCATATGAAAGCTAAAGAGCTCAGTATCTGAGTATGAGATTCCGCAGAGGAACCAAGGAAGGATGAAATGGGGACTTGAAGGGTCTGGGTCCAGATGAGGTACCCTTTCAGGCTACCTGTGTGGGCATTGTTTCCTAAGGATGTTATCTGTGACTTTCACATTTAATATCTCAGAAAAGTAACTTTGAGACTGTTATTAACACATAAATTATACATATGACAGAGACTGTCATTAGATTGTCAGTTAACATGAAAAACAGGAAACTGTAAAAGAGAAAGAGGAGATTGGGAAAGGGAAGGTAAACAAACATTCTGCAACAGCGAGTTTCTTTTCTTGGGTAGATTAATTAGCCAGTAGCTAGCAAAAAGGCCAGTCTGCCCTTGAACATGTTGTCTGGAGTAATTAGGGGAGAAAAACGTTCTTTATTCTCTGAAAAACTGTGAGAATTTAGCTGTAGAATATATATGACAGGTTGTCTCTCTGTAATGTCTACCAGTGGCCTTAATTTATTTTAGTACCTGCACCAAGTCAGAGCCATTTCCCTCATTTGAGTTTTCTCAGGTGTTTTTTTTTTTTTTAATTTTTTTTTTCAACGTTTATTTATTTTTGGGACAGAGAGAGACAGAGCATGAACGGGGGAGGGGCAGAGAGAGAGGGAGACACAGAATCGGAAACAGGCTCCAGGCTCTGAGCCATCAGCCCAGAGCCTGACGCGGGGCTCGAACTCCCGGACCGCGAGATCGTGACCTGGCTGAAGTCGGACGCTCAACCGACTGCGCCACCCAGGCGCCCCTCAGGTGTTGTTTTTAAAGCAATATGAATAAAATGGAAATAATTTTATATATTTTTTCATAAATGGCATAGTATAATACTTCTTTATCTAGAAACATGGTGAATACAAGATTTTTTAATATGAGATTTTTTGTCTGTTTAACTGCAAAGAAACTTCACACTTCAGTTTTTCCTTGGGCTGTAATTGTCACTGTCCTTTAATTGCCCATGATTCTAGGTTTGGCTTTATCAGCAACTTTATCACCCGAGCCCAAAACACCAAACTTTTTTTTTTTTTTTTTTTTTAATCTTTGGTATACAGAAAGAGCTGGTGTAATGCACATTTTGAAGTGTATTTTTATTATCTAATTTGTGTTTGTAGTGAATCACCAGAAATCATCCAGGAATTACTAATATGTCTCCATATTGGTGACAGGTATTCTAGGAAGTAGTATATGAATGAGGGTGCTGTTCATCTTAGTTGTGCTGTTCTGAATTAATTGTGACAAGCTAATACGATCTTTTGAAAGTTTCTTTCCAAGCTTCTTGAGCTAATGCTTTCCCTCTGGCCAGTGGGGTAGACTGCACGTTAATTTTGATACTCTTTAAAGACATGTGGGCAGTTACTGTTCATTTAAGCCAGATGGCATGTGTCAACTCCTTTTCCTGGAAAGGGGGAGGGTTTGGGGGGGCGGCTGCTGTGGTAAAACCTTATGTGTCTTCTTATGGAGGTCTTCTCTTTACTTAAATTAGTACTTACAGAAGATTTTCATAGCACTTTGAGTACTCCTCTTTGACTTAGGAAGTTTCTTAGCAGATTGGGCCCAGATGTTTTTGTGTAAACTCTCCTTTTGCAGTTATGCAGTAGCAAGTGATCATCAATAAAGTCATATAGAACGAATACTGTTTTTTTGGATAAAAACAAAACAAAGAATTCATAAGACAAGGAATAGGGGACTTTTTATTATATTTTTACCAAGATGCCTACAGTCAGAATCTGAGTTAGGGGATTGGCTCTTGATAATGCAGTGTAGATGCTTTTGGAGCCCCTTAGAAAATTGCCCTGGTCCAGAATCAGCCCAGTAGTCTTCTCTACATTAGTACCATGGATTCCAGGACTTGGCTTTTATTGTGCATTGTTAATCACCATACTGCATTGAATTTTTTTTTTCATTAAACTTTTAATTTTTTTCAAGCAAGTACAAATAGGTGAGTGTTTGAATTCTGCAAGCATTTAGCATTTGGTTTTCATTTATCCTGATTAAATCCTAAGCTACTGAACTTGAGTGATACTTTTTTTTTAAATTTTCACATCCATGACTCTAAGAATTAGAATTTTCAGCTTTCTGGTTTTCTTGGTAGTTGATTTTAAAAGTATTATTTTACTGAGATTCTTACTAGTATTTTCATTTTTTTCAAGGTGTTGACTTTAAGGTGAAAACAATTTCAGTGGATGGAAATAAGGCCAAACTTGCAATTTGGGTAAGAGTTTTATTTATTTATTTTTTTTAATTTTTTTTTGGGGGGTAAGAGTTTTAAAAATGTATTTAATATAAGTATTCAACTTCTACTTTTTAAAGAAGCAGAAATTGATGTGTGTAGAGTTCTAGAGGTACATGAACAATTGATATTAAATATCTTTTGGGAAATTTGATATTGATTAAGGGATAAACAATAAATAGTATGGCTTATAATTGGACATGAGATAGATACTTGTTTTACTTAAATTTTTAAAGTATATAATCCCTTAACATTTAAAAGCAGAATAAAGTATAAAAAATCATCTTGTCTGCCAGAGAGAATTATTGTTATTGAATCTGTTTCTTTAAAGTTTTCAGAAGACAATATAGCCTCAGCTAACACTGAGGCAATTATTTGGGAGAAAGGGATGAAGTGATACTTAGGAAAAAATAATTTTTTCATGTTTGTTAGTATAAATATTTATAAAAACTGAGCTTGCCAACTTTGGATTTATTTTTTAATACTGATTCCCAGTCTTTCTTTACTTACTGGCTTCTTTTTATCCGCCCTTGAATCCAAACATTCTGATACATATTGCTTTCCTAACTAGACCTTTTTGTGGTAGTGCTGACCGAACAAAGTAGCATTAACTGTCAAAAACATCCAAGATGCTCAGTGTCTATGTCTGTCTGCCTGTCTTTTCCCTCCTCCTATCCACCTACTACCTACCTATGTATTTACCTACCTACCTATTTCTATCTAAATGATTGCTAATACATATTTAATATACTAAATATATTATACATATAATTTATAAAAATATACTCTTGTGTATCTGATTCCCACATATACTCTAATTAAATATAGAAACCATTTTTATTACATGTGATAATATTAGAACTGGTCAGCAGTCATCACATGAGATGTACTTCAGCATGGTGATTAAATAGTAAATGGACATCAACTACAGATCGAAACAACAAATTTTCATGCATTGTATCATCTGATTCATCTTCCTGGCATTCTCTGAATGGCATATTATTTCTAACACAAGTTTTATCCTAAATAACAACTAACTGTGTGTATCTCATGTTTTCTTGTTAATTTTTTTCTAACATATAGTACTTTACACGATTGGTAGCCTATTTGCCCCTCTCCCTGAAATATAATTATGATATCAATCAGAATAGTAATGTCTAACAGAAAACAATTTGGCATATGTTGGACTAGGCCATAGTGAAATATATTGAACAGTTTAATTAAAAATGATGGCTTCAGGGCGCCTGGGTGGCTCAGTCAGTTGGGCATCTGATTTGGCTCCGGTCATGATCTCGCCGTTCATGGGTTCAAGGCCCGCGAGGGGTTCTGCGCTGACAGCTTGGAGCCTGGAGCCTGCTTTGGATTCTGTGTCTCCCTCTCTCTCTGCCCCTCCCCCACTCATGCTCTGTCACTCTCTGTCAAAAATAAATAAACATTAAAAAAAATTAAAAAAAAAAGAATGCTGGCTTCTTTCTGTTCAGAAAAAATATGCTACAAATATTTTTTTCCAGTTTGTCGTTTACCTTCAAATCTTGTTTAGGATGAGTGTGTGGGGGCGGTGTTCTTGCCAGACCAAGGTGTTAGTACTTATATGGTCAGACCAGTTACTTTTCTTCATGAATCTGGGTGTCGTGTCGTATTTAGGAAGGCCTTCTCACTCATTAAAAGAAATACATGAATCCATTGTTTGCTCTAATTCTTCCGTGGTTTTATTTATATGCATAAAATCAGTTCCCCTCCCATTTGGATGGCCCTCCCAGGATCAGTCAAATAGAATAATCAAGTATAGCCCTGTCCTCATTGCTCCTGAAAGTGCTGCACACACATCGTGGCCTACTTGGCACCTCTGACGCTATTTTTCTTTATATGCTGCTCTCGCTGCCACTCCCATATTCTGATACTTTGCCTTTCCAGATCTTCCCTAACCCTTTATCCATTTCTATCTTTAATAATCTCTCCTCTCACATCAGAGAAGAAAACCACAGATAATAAGGTCTGCTTTTCTTCTCTTACAGAGATGTCATTACAGTTATTGCAGATTCCTGTCTTGAAAACAAACACAAGCAAAAATCTTAACTTTTGACTATTTAAACATATATATTTTATAGTTATTATAACTCCTGATCCCATACTATGGCACAGGGGTTTTGCCCAAATTATCATACCTACTTAAACATCTTTATAAGTGAATCTAAAAAAATTAAGACTCTAAACAGCTGGACTAACTTAAATATTTGTGTATTAAGTTGTGCAGTATTTTAACATCAAAACTTTTTTTTTTTTTCTTTTGGCTCTAGGATTTTATTTTAACTAGAATTGCAGTTGTGATTTTTATTTTGTGTTTCATCAAGGCAGTTATTGAACTTGATCTCAGTGAGGACCAAGGGGGCAAAATTCATAGTCAAATGCTTTCTGCTAGTTCTGGAAATTAATTTATTGCAGCATGCATACGGTTTCATTATGCAAACAGAATTTTTCTCTTATAACAAAAAGTCTTGAGACTAAAATATTTCTTGCATGGTCCTTGCCCTAACCTATGTCAGATTATCCAAATTATAATCTGCTTTAGATAGCAAGTGCACTTCACTTTAATCTTTGTGTTATAATTTTTTATTATGTATTATTATTTTTATTATTTGTTAACTTGTTTATATTATTGTTTTTGAAAAGTTGACTCAGTCTGCAGATTGAATAATTTTTAAAAAAAAAAATTTTTTTTTTTTTTCCAACGTTTATTTATTTTGGGGACAGAGAGAGACAGTGCATGAACGGGGGAGGGGCAGAGAGAGAGGGAGACACAGAATCAGAAACAGGCTCCGAGCCATCAGCCCAGAGCCTGACGCGGGGCTCGAACTCACGGACCGCGAGATCGTGACCTGGCTGAAGTCGGACGCTTAACCGACTGCGCCACCCAGGCGCCCCCAGATTGAATAATTTTAAATATCAGAGAGGTTTTGTAAGAAACTTTGGAGGAAAGGGAGTTTTTGTAAAGAGAGATCATTTTTATCTCAAATTTATCTGTTTAGAAAGTTTAATTTTGTTATCTTTTTCACTTCAACATGGCAGGGTTAGGGGCAGTTTCTGTAGTGGTAAGAATCTGGAAGTAAAGACAGTGTACGTTTACGGAAGCTCATCTGGAGGAAGGGAAGAGTAATGGAAATGTAAAGTGGTTTACTTTGAAAGTTATTTTCATCTTAAGTTTCTCTTCTGGGGCTAAAATTACTCATACACTCTCTAGCTATTGCTCTTGTCTTAAAGCAGTCTGTATTTTGACCAGGCAAAGAAAGTAGGTAATTGCTGGTGCCTGTCATTGCTGGTTTAAAATTCCTCTCCAATCTTATAAACCTCTTAGAGGTTATTAACATGTTTTATATCTGAAGGAGCTTCTGCTTGCCCCATAGCTAAGCTCCAATTTACAGCCATGGGACTGGCAGCTAAGGTGATGTTTGATATATGTCTTCACTTTTCTTCAGGTTATTTTATATTAGCAGACTGGAAACTTTTTCTTAAAGGCCAGATAGTAAATATTTAGTCTAATCCTAAAGCAGGCATGTGGCAATGCACAAGCAAATGGGCCTGGCTGTGTTCCAGTAAAACTTTATTTAATAAACAGGTGGTGGGCTGAGGGAGCCATTTGTCAACTGCTGTTTTGAAAAGTCTTAGGTACCTTGAAGCCACAGTCAAAGGTGGTAGAAAAAAGACGGAAGGAACCAGGCCCAGAAGTACAGACTTGTTAGTTTTTTTTCTTTCAACAAAAGTTGAGCAACAATCCTGTGGCAAGAATTGCTCTAGGCATGGGGGTTAAACTGGTGATTAAGCAGACGAGGTCTCCTTCCTCATGAAACTTAAACTTCCTAGCTAGTGTACATCTTGTTTATCACCCCTGAGATGTGTCAGAAACCATGTGATAACAAGTGGCTTGGTTTTATACATTTTCCTAAAAGAAGATAAATAGAAAACACTTGAAAAGTCCAACCTAAAAATTGCTTACCTAAAATAAGACACTCCTGTAATTCTCTTTTAATTGATTCTATGTTAGAATCACTTGGGAAGATTTTAAAAACTTCAGTCTTACTTTAGACCAATTAAATCGGAACCATTGGGGATTGGACCCAGGCATCAGTATTTTTGATTTCCCAGGAAATTTCATTGTGCATCTCGAGTGGAGAGAACCATGGCTTTCAATGAAATGTGTTTCATGTATGATAAAAGTCTTTTTTTTTTTTAATTTTTAATGTTTTTATTTTTGAGAGAGAGACAGTGTGAGTGGGGGAGGGGCAGAGAGAAAGGGAGACACAGAATCTGAAGCAGGCTCCAGGCTCTGAGCTGTCAGCACAGAGCCTCACGTGGGGCTCGAACTCACGGACCGTGAGATCATGACCCGAGCTGAAGTCACATGTTTAACCGACTGGGTCAACCCAGGTGCCCCTCATGTGTGATAAAAATCTTTATAAAGAACCTCTTTCCTTAGATGCATTTTTTTCTAGAGATGAGTCAGTATTTATTAGTTTTATTGTATGTAACAATTGTCAGTAAGAATACATCTTTAAATTTCAAGTTTTACATGAGCTTGTGCATAGATATTATTTTTAATAATGCTGTTTGACTTTCTACTCTTAATACATTGAAGATCTGTTATATTTTGTTTTATTTAATAATGACTGATTGTCACTTTTAGGATACTGCTGGTCAAGAGAGGTTCAGAACATTAACTCCCAGCTATTACAGAGGTGCACAAGGTGTTATATTAGGTAAGGCTTTACTTTAAGATACTATTGTTGTTTTATTATTGCAGTTTCTGATTTTCCTTGTCTGTGAGGGTCAGCAAGTTTTTATTTTTCTTCAGGTTCGGGGTACCTTTATGTAACTTGAAGTCATATTAGCTTCATTTAATATTAATGAATATTTAAACTTTCAGAATTTCTTTTCAGTCCTTTGTCTAGCAATTAAAAAATAAAGATCAGACTATTTGGTTTTAAAGCACATGTTGATATGGACATAATTGAGGATTAATCCACATGTAATTGGTCTGTCTTAAGAGTGTCACCAGAAACTGATCTTCAGCCCGCATTGTATTGACATATGCTTTAGTTTATAAAAGAAGATGGCTAGTTTCTTGGTGGAGTCTGTTTTATTAGTCCTAAAAAATATCACAAATCACTTGTCACTGTTGATTCATAATCACACAGAATTTTTAAAAAGTCTTAAAAAGTACTTGTTATTGATAATCCTGGGAAACTTTTTAAAATAAATATTGATCAGTTTTAGGGAGAACATAGCTTGTGAGGTTTTGGTTTTTATTTTATTTTATTTTATTTTATTTTATTTTATTTTATTTTATTTTATTT